CTGCTGCTGCTGCTGCTGCTGCTCGGCCTGCCGGGCGCGCCTCGGCAGGGCGAGCCGGAGCGGAGTAGGAGGCAAGTTTGCAGCCGCCGCATCGCGCGGGTCTCCCCTGCAGAGGGGGGGCCCTGGGCGCGCGATCCCCGGGATGGGGGGCGGGAAACCCGCGTTCTGCAAAGGGGATCGGGAGGTCTGAAGCATCCCGCCCCCTCCCTGGGGGTTTTAGGATTGCAATCCCTATCGTCCCGTGGCTGGGAATCCTGGGAGGTGTCACCCCGGCGCACCTGGAGGGCGCCAAGTTGGGGAAGGGCGGGGCTAAAAATCAGAAAGCGGGGACGGTATGGATCGTGTCAGGGGACGGTTCTAGTTGTGCGGGGTCTCTCGGGCCCGTCGTTGCGACTTAGAAGCAAACGCTGCGTGCTCTCCCTCTTAGAATGAAGGGGGGGGGTCCTAAGCAAGCCCCTCAGCCTTCTTATAGGTGTGATGGCCCCCGGGGCTTGCGGACAGGAGGGGCTCCAGTGCTCGGGAATTCCCAGGCAATGTGGCCTTCGTAGTTTCGGCCGGTAGGAACTGGTCTGGATTGCAGTGTCTTCTGCCTACTCCCGTTTCCAGAGTTGCAGCTGGGTTAGTTCTAAACCGCAGCTCCAGACCGGATCTGCTGGCCTGTATGAATGAAACGCCTTCTCAGCAGGTGGCAGCACTTACCTGGCAGGTGACCTTGGCTGAATCTGGAAGTTAAGCAGGGTTGGCCTGGGTCAGTGTACGGATGGGGCCTGCCAGGGCTGCAGGCTAGCCTGGGAAGTCATCGCCATCATCACCACCGCCCTCAGAGAATTGCAGAGCACTTCTTCTCCCAAGAGGATTGCAGGGATGTGGCCAAATAGCCGGTAGGAGCTGTGCTTTACATTCCTAGTCCCTGATGCTGCTGGGGGCTTGGACACAATCAGCCCTCCTTTTTCCCAGGGGAATTCCCCACTGGAATCAGCTTAAAGTTTGAGAGGACTTCCAGAAGGTGCAAAATGTCCTAGCTGTACTTCCTCATCAGTGCAACTTAGTCTGATAGCTTGCCTTCCATTACATCAGAGAAAGCATTCACTACCTCGGAGTTACCTTCCTCTGTTGCTTGTTAAGCCTAAAAGTAAAATCTTCAACTGGAGCTTTTTGAACTCCTGGTGAAATTCAGGGGCAGATCTAAATACCGCTCTTGCTTTCTTTGGGCTGTTGTTTCAAATTCCTATTCTAGCCTCCAGCCCTGCTGTTACTTGAAGACTCCTCCTCCAACTCCTCACCCCACCTGGCCTTGCTTAGGTTCTGAGCCCAGACCCTGTTGGGCAGACGCGGCCACCGGTTAAGACCCAGTTTTAGCCTCCTTCAAACCCTCAAGTTAGGAACAGAATGAGCTTTCTTTGAGCTTTCTAAGCTCAGCGGGTGACTCCGGTACGCAGGGAAGAATTTGAATGCCTGCAGCAATGTGGATCTCGAGTCTCGGTGGTCAAGGCAAAGGTCACACACAGGATGTTTCTCCTCTTTTCAGGGCACAATGGATTTGGTGGCAGGGATGGATCTTGGGGCTGAAATCGAAGTGACCGAAGATGGGGCCCTGGAAGAATTGCCTCTGCATTTGGTAGGGAGCAGGCACTGCCCTGTTTCTGATTTTGGGTGTGGGGATACTCGAATGGCTGCCTATAGAAGCTGTCTGACCAGGTGGCTCACGGGGTGCTGTTTAGGTAGTTGCTCTCACATCAGAATTAGGAAAGAAATGCAGCCAGCTAGTGTCCCTTTTGCGGTCCCCAGAAAACCGCCCCCAGAATGGGCAGGACCAAATTTAGGGCTCTTCTTTTCGTTTGCTTGTTTTTTGGTGATTAGTGGGGATGATGGTGCAAAAAAGGTGCCTTAAGCCTTGCAAATGCTTATGGTACCAATTTCACCCCTTAAAACCCTCCCCTAGATCAGGCCCTGGGACTCCTGTTTTGGAGTGTGGCCCCAGAAAAACAGCATTAAACCTCTGAGAGCTTGTCTTCAGATTTCAGTTTAGTGGTGAATTTTGCCAGCAGCCCCAAGGTTGGTGTCAGTGTGCCTCTGTTTTGGGCTAAAGGTCCTGTAAGCCTCCATCAGCAAGGTTGGTGGTCAGGAATTATGGGCATTATAATCCAAACATCTGGAGAGCACTTTTAATGCATGCATCTGAATTAGAGAACTTAATTATCACTGATTCTCTTGCCCTTGGATGCGGATGTGACATGCTCTGCCTGTCTCTGGGGCTGTATGGACAACCTTTGGCCCCAGATATTTGTACTTTGGAGCCCTCACAAGCTACCACACTTGCTGAAAACCTAAGGCACATTTTCCTGCCAGCTTGAGACGCAGAACAGGAGAAAGCTGTGCTGCGAGTCCTAAAGTAGACATACCGCAATTTTAAAAACTCCCTTTCAGACGCCAGCCCTGCCAATGCACGAGGCTGGACTAGATGACCTGTCAGATCCTTTTCAACTTATACATTTTCTGATTCTTTCCACCCCCAGGAAAATGCCCAGAATTGCCTCTGCTGGGAATCCTTGGACATCTCCAGCAGCGATGATGATGGGGAAGCCCATTTGACCTTCTTCTTGCCTGTCAGGCGGCCCCCACGACCTGTCCAGCGCCGTCCGGTTCACCGCCCCACGGTCCCTCCAGCCACTGCTAAATTGTCTGCTGCTGAGAAATGGATCCCTCCCTTGTTCCCTTGCCCTTTGCGCCCTGGAGGTCCTCCCCCTCCCGGAATACCAGCCTTCGGTGCCTACCAGTGCCAGAAGTGCCTGCAGGTCTTCATGGAGGAGTGGCACTACACCCAGCACCTCCAGGACCATGCTCAGGAGGAGGAGGTGGCCCAGCTGCATGCAGCCCAGAACCCGATCCGCCCCCCGTCCCCACCCCGCAAGCTGCGCTGCTTAGAGTGTGGCAAGCGGTTCCTGCGCCCGGAGCAATTTGCACGGCACACCAAGTGGCACCTGAAGCTGGTGCGTCTGGGCATCAAAGTCCGCCACAGAAAGGGAAGTCGGCGGTCCTCCCAAGTCTCTTATGTTTACAAGCCTCTGGGCGGCAGCAGGAGCCCCTCGGAAGGGAAAGAGGCCTCTGACCTTCCAGTCGTACAGGAGATCCTCAGGCAGCCGGCCAGCTTGCAGGTTCCCAGGCCTCAAAGGACAGGCAAGCGCAAAGCCATCAAGCAGCAGAAAACGATGAGCGCCGAGATGTGGCAGCATCAGGACCTGTTCAGCTCCACCCAGTCTGGGAGCTCCATGGCTATCCTAGATGGGGCCTCTGGGGTAAATCTTCTGCAGCCTTGGCAGAAGCAGGAGGGTGTCCTGGAAGGCCAAGTAGCTGGGGGCCTTTTCCAGCCAGCCATCATGAATGCGGAAAACCAGATCATCATCCTGGATGGCGACGAGGCAGAGGCCGTGCCTGTTGCACCGGAGCGGCATTACGCCGAGCTGCAGGCAACCGTATTCGACAGCCAGGGGAGCACGAACACCATGCAGCCTGTGTTCCTAAGAACCGAAGAGCAGGCGGCCATCGTGGATACGCCGGTTAGCATGAATCCTCTGCAGGTTGGTGGGGTCAAGGACCCGGCGGCCATTGGCCCTGGGTGGGTTGGCCAGAATCCTTGTACTGTTTACCGGACTGTGCTGCTCCAGGCGGAGGAGCAGGCGGCTCTCGTGGACGGCCAAGCGGAGTGCAGCCCTTTCCAGCAAGTGATCATTAAGACATCCGAGGACTCGCCTGCGCTCTACTTGGATCCGGATCCTCAGATTTCTTCTCTGGACCCAACCACCTTCCATTTGGTCCCTGAGCCTCAATATGTAACCTTCCCTTACGGGAATTCCTTACCTCTGGACCACAACGAAGCCACAGATGAAGGAGAAAAGGCTTGGGAGTCGCAGGCAGCGAGCTTCCACTTCCCAGGTTATTTGCCCAATTTGTACCAGGCAAGCAGGCAGCCCCCTCCCCCAGCGACCACCAGTCCCAAAAGTCCCATGGTGGTGCGGCTGCTGCCTTGCGCTACAGGGGACCATCCTGAGGTCTTAGACCTGGAGTACGATACCGGGGGTGGCATTCCAGTAGCCTCTGAGCCGTGGGACATGAACTTGCAGGCTGGGCAAGAGGCCCTCAGTCCCAAAGAGGCGGCAGAAGATAGCTTCATTGTGGTGGAAATGGAGGGCGAGTCAGGCTGTCAAGGCTCGGTGGTGGTCAAGCAGCATGACCACCCCAGGCAGCAGACCTTCCAGCCAGCCAAAAAGCCGCCCCCTCGAAACAGCAGCATCTGGCGCTTTAAGTGCCCCGACTGTGGGGTGTGCTATAGCCAGCTCTCCCAGCTCCGCTCGCACCAGAAGGGGCAGAAACGCCGAGGACGGAGCTTCCTGTGCGAATGTGGGTCTCCCTTCCGTGGCCTCCTCCATCTCCTGCGCCACCAGCTCCAGCACCTGGAGCAAGCCCTGTTTATTTGCGCAGCCTGTGGGAAGTCGCTCAGAGGACACGTGGGCTTGCAAAGACACAACTCCTGCCATCCTGGCCTGGCCCGTTTCAGCTGCCCTTGTGGCGTCAGCTTCCGACGCTTGTCCCGTTACCTCTGGCATCACGTCAGAAGCCAGCGGCCTGGCTTGCGGGTGTATACGCTTGCAGGTTTCCTCTCCTCCACCTGAGCCGGGTGGGCAGGTGGGGCTGGCACAAGGAGGGGCAGGAGGCACCTCTCTTTCAAGAGAAGATTGGTCAGCCTGTTTGCTGAAGGTTGCTGTCTGATGTTTGTTTCATTTCTCCCAATGTAATTATGAGGATGGTAATTAAACAGCCGAGATCCTGAGCCCCTAATGTGTTGCTTACCTGTGGGGGGGTGTTGGCAGGGAGGTAGGAGGAACCTGACACTAACCATTCAGCTTGGAATGAGTTGCATTGGCTATAGAAGGTTGCATTCTTCCTTGGGCTGTGATATTTACTGGACAAATCGATTGAAAACAGTTGCATACAGGTAGACCATGTTTAATGACCACGATAGGACTGGCAACTCTTTTGCTAAGTGAGACATCATGTAACTGTGACAGACTTACGACCTCACTTCTGCCACAGTCGTTAAGCGAGACATGTGACCACAACTTGCGATTTCACTGCTGGCTTCTCCGTTGAGTCTGCTTGTCTGAAGCCAGCTGTGAAGCGCACAAATGGTGATCACGTGATGACAGGACATTGCGATGGTCATAAATGCCTGCCAGTTGCAAAGTGCTCAAATCTCAATCACATGATTGCAGGGAGCTGTGATGGTTGTAAATGTGAGGACCAGTCATAAAGTTACTTTTTCAGTGATGTTGTAATTTCAGTTGCTAAACAGGGCAGTCATTAAGCGAGGACTACCTGTATTTATTTTAACACAAGTGCTTATAAAAACAGGCAATTGCAAACTGTTTGGGGAGGACACATTTTCTTGGGATAGAGAACAGGAACTGTCTTGGCGACAGGCAGAGACAGCCTTCTTTCTTTGAGAGACGATGCTTTTGAAGGGTGTGGTCATTCCTCCTTTTCCTTCCACCAACCCTTTAGCACTCTTCTTTTCCCTTACTTTTCTTCACTGAGCAGGCGGGGGACAAGATGTAAGGTGCCTGATCAGCATAGCTTGCAGCTCTCCCTCCCTTCCTTCCCCAGCGGCTAGGCCAATCACTTACACAATGCCTCTTTTCTTTCTAATATTTCTCTTCTATCTCTTTCCTCCAGACTCTTGTCCCTCCCAGTATGAAATTAGGCCAAGAACCACAGGTCTCTCACGCCAACTAAAAGATGACAGCAATTTCGTAGATTCCTCTTCTACCAACAAGCTGTCCGGTTGGCTGTATCTTTTCGGTTGTGAGTCTCCCCTCCTCCCAAAAGGCCACCATCAGAGGCGATGCACTGCTGGGTTAATAGAAGCTTCATCTGACCTAGTGATCTCTGGATGGGTACGGACTGTAAACTCCAGCTGGCATACTGCACTCAACACATCTGGAGAACACTACATGGGAGAAGGGTGGTTTAGCAGGTATTCCCTTGCAAGAAACGGAGGCCCTTTTTCCCCCTGCCTCTCTAATTAAGTGCATTACATTCCAGCGGTTTTGAATCTACTCCTGGATTTCTCCCGTAAGTTGTTGACCCAATAATGACACAGGCATTTATTTTACTGGCTTGGGACTCTCTTCCCTAGGTTTGATGGTTACAAGGTGCTGAAAAGCCGATCCTCTCAATGACTCTGCAAGGAAGATCGAGGGCGCAGAACTCACTTGTATAAAATAGGCCAGATTGCATCCATTAAACCAGTGTTCCTCAACCTTGGCCACTTGAAGATCTGTGGACTTCAACTCCCAGAATTCCCCAGCCAGCCATGTTGGCTAGGGAATTCTGGGAGCTGAAGTCCACAGATCTTGAGAAACACTGCATTACGCACGCCTTTTCTTTCGAGAAGAGGCTAATGAACAGCAGCAACAGCAAACTGAGGCTGAATATCCCTGTTGGAGATGCTTTAATTTAGATTCTTGCACTGAATGCACAATTGGACTCAAAGCCCTCCTATCAGTTGTATGATTCTTAAGTAGCATCAAGATACCAAAAATAAAAATGAAACCCTCTCCCTATTACACCCAAGCGTCCTCCCCTGTAGGCAACTGCCATTCAAGCTAACTGTCCAAGTCCGTGGCATGCAGTCAAGCCTCAGCTGAAGAGGGTGGCGGCGTCTTCCACCATCTGAGAAGTTCTGTGCAGTAGGTTAGCAACTGCTTCCTGCAGATCTGATTCTAGCCACGTCTGGAAAGGTTTCTGCCAAAGAACAAAAGCAAAACCTTTGCATTCCACAGCCGTGAGCTTTTTCTTCCGTTGTTCGAGCACATTTCTGTCCATTTCCTATCCCATAACTAGTTTCCACCCCCTCTGCAGTTCAAACTCTTCTTCAGCAAAGAGAGGATATTAGGACGTGGTTTCCATCCAGAAGCCCCCCTGCCAAGGCATACATCTTTGCAGATACGTTCAGAGGCACAATTGTTTCCTCAACGTGCAGACGGCTGCTGTTAGCGTCTTTCTGACCCGCCGATGCTAAAGAAGAACATGTTCTAAGGCTTGCAGTGATTCATCTTTGCCACGAGATGGAGATGTAGTGACATTTTTCCCCTATGTACTGCTTTAGCCTATGGAATCCATAGAAAAGCCAGTCGCTGTTCCAAAAGTCCACATCTTGAGCCTTGGGTGGGCAAATGAGGTCAAAATCATCCCATTGGCCACCTGAAATAAGAAGTCAAACCGGGGGTGACATTAGTTCTGGGCTGGGGAACAACAGCTCCAATAAATATCAACCTACATATTGCCAGTTTTATCTACCCCCACCAGTGGTCCTACCAAGCTGAACCCAGGTATTACTAAAAAAAAAAAAATCAAATGTTTTATTACAGCCACAGACCAGCATAGGGAAGTGGGGTATAGCAGGTATTATAAGAAGTTCACCTACATGGGGGGTGCATGCTTAAAGGGAAAAAAAAGATTTCCAGGATCTGCAAACAATTGTGTGTCCCCGTCCCCTCCTCAAAGTCTAATTAAACAGGGAAACTTGGCTTAGTCTTGCAACATTTTAGGGGCTGGGAATGGCACATTTTTTAGGAGGCTTGAAGCCCACAGGAGAAAGCGTGTTTCACAGCTTGCACTCCTTTTGTGTGTGTGTTTCTGGTCTCAGAATAGCATAAAATCTTCTTGTCAATTTTCAGGAACGATGAACAGAGGCCACTTTGCTGGCCTCCGCAAAAAAGAGCTCAGGACAGATGTGGCCTTGAGATCGTCCACCTCCGTTAATTTTGGACTTCTGAGGGCAGAACAGAGAGAAGACTGCTCTAGGTAAACTAGAACTGCAATCCCTTCTAAGATACAGCCTGGTTAAAGGTTTCACTCTTGACCTTGGTCTTTCCTTGAACCCACATTCCATGACCTTCCCTGCTTTTTTATCCCTGCCATTCCACACATTCACATCCTGCAAACAGAAAAGGCACTGCAAAGAGACCACCAGCTCTGGTCCCCAGGAGTCCTGCCCTACCTGGCAGCCCTTGAGCATCAATGCACCTGCTGCTCCTCCTCTTGCTTGGACTCCACGAGGGCAGAAAGCAATCTGGTCACCTCGTCCAGTTTCCGATCAAGGGACTCGATCCGTTTTTCCAGCTCCCGTTGAGAGTTACCAAGGCTGGAGCTGAGGTCGCACATGATCATTTGCATCTGGAGAGGAAGACAGGAGAAGACACAAGTCATGCTGCTAGGCCTGGCTCTGGCATGTCTCTGGATGACTGTCTCCCTGAAGCCAGGAGGCAAGAAGCTCAACTTGTGGTGACTTTATGGAGACATCCATCCAGCTTTCTTTACAAGTCTGTTACTTTCTTTCCGGGATGGTCTTTTAGCTCTCCGTGCTAACCTACAGCTGTGGTTGTCCCCCATCCTGCTTTGCTTCTGATCCCAAACAAGCTCAGTCAGCAAATATAACCTACAGCAGAAGGAACTATTCCATCTCAGCTGAAGACAGTGATGGGGAAGTTGCAGTTTTCTGGATGTTGCTGTTTCCCTGGATCCTGCATTCTTGATTGTTCTGGCTGGGGTTGCTGGAAGTTGTAGTTCAGCCACATGACAAAGGATAGGGCTTCCTTTAACCTCAGGCCAAAGGCTTCCTCCCTTGGCTGCCTAGAAAACCCACCTTAGAAATATCCACCATGGTATTGACTTGATCTCGGATCTTCCGGTGTTTCATCCTCACATGCCGAAACCTGCAATGAGAGAAGATTTAGCTCCTTACCTGCAATGGTGCGGGAGAATAAGTATTAGCGCATCTGAAAGTGTCTGCACCTTTTTCGGAACCTCAACTGTTAGCTGCGTGAGCAACTCTTTACCTAGCAAATCCAGTGCTGTGGACAAGATCATGCTTTTAAAACAGCTTTAATTGGGGTGGACAATTCTTTTTTTTCGCCGGGGTAGGGGGAGCATGAGACTGATACGGGCTCCTCTCTGGTAGGATGCAAAGGTGGTGGTGGTTGATACATTTCCATACAGCTATTTCAAAGTTGCGTTCATCACGAAAGACCCCAAAACAACAACCCAACCCAACCCATCCAAAAAAAAAAAAGCCACGCCATTGAAAGTGGCCCATACGTTGCCACAATTTAGTGGTACGATACTAAGGGCACAACAATGGGTGGGAGGCATATCCAGGTAAATGGATAGCTAATGGATTTGAATTCCCAGAACAAAGCAAGCTGCAGAAAACTCAAGAGCTGAGTCCACATATTTGGGGATGGCCAGATGAAGAAACTGTGTGCTAACCAGTAGGTTCTATAGCATCCCAAGGTAGGAATGAAAAATCGAATCGTCATCCTCTTTGGGGTTCCTCACTTACATGTGAATGGCTGCCAGCAGCCGCCGGTGGTGTTTGCGTGTTCTTCGTCCATCCTTCCTCTTGGTGTGCTTGTACAATAGCCAGGCCTCTTGTAGTACATTGGCAGCTGAGCATTTCATCTGGAAACACATGCAAATTTGGTCAAGAGGAGATCATTTTGGGGACTATTTAACCTCTGTTTCTCAAATCGTGAGGAACACCAAACTCAGCACCCCAGACTGTAGCCTGCCAGCTGCACCAGAAAGCCAGTTTTGCAAGCCACCATAACTTGCTGCTGAAGTTGATTAAGTTTGCAAGACACAAGCTGCGTTGAACTGCAGTAGGGTAAGTTAGCTAATCAGGGCTTCAGGGGTTGGCCATCTGTGGCCCTCAAGATGTTGCTTGACTCTGACTCTCAACACTCCCAACTAGCACAGCCAATGATAAAAGATGCTGGGAGTTGTAGCTGAACA